TGACTTAAAAATAACCTAGATGGGCCTGGAAAGATGGCTCAGTAGTGAAGAGCTCATGCGCTCTTCCAGAGGACCAGAGTTCAGTTCCCAGGACCCACTTCAGGTGGCTCACAACTACCTGTAACTTTAGCTCTAGGGGATCCACAGGCACCTGCACTCATGGATACACACCACAGACACACACATGATTAAAAAATAACTTGGGGGGTGGCGGCGGCGGCGGCGGCGGCGGCGGCGGCACATACCTTTAATCCCAGCACTTGAGAGGCAGAGCCAGGAGGATCTCTGTGAGTTCGAGGCCAGCCTGGGCTACAGAGTGAGATCCAGGATAGGCACCAAAAACTACCCTGACTCGAAAAACCTAAATAAATAAATAAATAAACAAATAGATAAATAACTTGTAATATCTTAAAAAAACAAAACTCAAGTCACTCAGTACTAGTGAGAACATACAGGAAGAGTAGACTTTATTTCACCATTATGATTTCTCTACTAAAGAGTTTCTTTAGATATTTAGGGTGTGGCACTGGAATCAGCTGCTTAGATTACATATCTTAAACTTGGTGCACAGCTTTACTTTGTTCAGTAAATATTAGGTTCCAATTAGCATAGCCCAGAAGCATTTATCATTAACTTGTTTACAGAAAATAATTCAACCATAGCATAGCTGCCCCTTGCTCTGTGAAGACTAGTGCTTATAAAAATTCCAGCACCCCCTTGAGGTTTAAGAGAGACCACTTTGGGTTCAAGTACAGCATAGATGGGAAGTTTTCAGTTGCTACTTGAGTCTCCCTAACCTGACCAACTTCTTTTAATCTTTTTCTCTTTAATTTTATTTTTATTTGCATTTTTGTATTTGTCTGTGTGTGTGTGTGTGTGTGTGTGTGTGTGTGTGTGTGCGCGCGCGCGTGCGCTCATGGAGGTCAGAAGGGGGTGTCAGATCCTCCTGTAACTGGAGTTACAGATTTCATTTGTGAACTGCCTGATACAGATGTTGGAAACCAAAGGACCCCCCTCCCCCCTGTACAAGAGCAGAAAGTGCTCTGAACCACTCTCCAGTGGTTTGTTGGTTTGACTCATGGTCTCATGTAGCCCAGGCCTGCCCAAACTCCTAGGCAGCTGAGGATGACTTTGAGCTTTTAGCCCCTCTTGCCTCTGTCTCCTAAGCCGGGATTGCCAGTGTACACCACTCTTCCTGGTTTTGTGCAGTGGTGGAAAGTGATGGCTAATACTGATTGTGAACTTGACAGGATTTAGAGTCACCCTGGGACACAAGCATGCCACACAAGCCCTCTGCCAGCTGAGCTCCATGCCAACCCCTACACAAGATTCTTGAGGGCAGAAGTCAGTGTCACATTGTGTTATCTTTCTTGTTATGCAATTTATATTTGAGAGATTAAGTGTGCCCTGGCCATATGCAAGATCTCAGCTATCCCAAGTATTAACATAGTTAATATATAACTCTTGTTGCTGTACAGAGTACCTGGCAAGATATCACTCAAGGGGCTGGAGAGATGGCTCAGTGGTTAAGAGCATGGGCTGCTCTTCCAGAGGACCCAGGTTCAATTCCCAGCACCCACATGGCAGCTCACAACTGTCTATAACGCCAATTCCAGGGCTTCTGACACCCTCATACAGACATACATATGGGCAAAACACCAAATAATATAAAAATAGAAATAAATTATTTGCTGTGGGATGTTCTGTATGTCCTGTGGGAACCCGTTCTTGGGTTCCTTGTGGCTTTACCCAGCAGGTCCACATAGAGGATGACTAGGACCATGAGCCTGATGAGTGCAGGTGTCTGAGACGGTCTGCACTTGGCTGTGCTGTGGGATGGTCTGTATGGAAAATGTGTTGCTCTGATTGGTTAGTAAATAAAACAATGATTGGCCCATGACTAGGCAGGAAGTATAAGCGGGACTAACAGAGAGGAGAAAAGAACAGGAAGGCAGAAGGAGTCACTGCAGCCCCCGCCAGGACAAGCAGCATGTGAAAATGCCAGTAAGCCATGAGCCACGTGGCAAAGTATAGATTTATAGAAATGGATTAATTTAAGCTATAAGAACAGTTAGCAAGAAGCCTGCCATGGCCATACAGTTTGTAAGCAATATAAGTCTCTGTGTTTACTTGGTT